ATAAAAAGCAACTCGCGTGTTCATTAATCTTTTTTATTATCGACATTGTTCTAAAACGATTACAATCTGTCCTCTAGAAAAAAAAATTCAACGTTGAAAATAAATCCTAAAAAACGCTTACAAAGTTCTTTTTGCACAATTCTTCCTTAGTTTGCCCTTTTAGCATACTTGATAGCACGACATCTATCATTGATCTTGGCTTTGATTTGTTTCCACAGTTTATCTCTTTCTGTAGTACATTCAACTGGAAATTTACTGAAAACTAAAACTCTTAGAGAATTCAGCTTGCTGCTGTCGAGCGGATGTTTACCGTGGGTCCCATCAGTATTGCTTCCTTTGAGTTCTTCATCACTAAAGAAGTATGGGAGCAGCTTTACTGCGCATCTATGCCTCTCCTTTTCTTTCTGTAATGTTGCATATACGCTTTGCACTTTTCTTGGAGTGACGCAAGTCCGAATTACATCTTCTCCCACCGGGATTTCAGGTCTTTCCATGATACTGTCAGCGTTTACGGGCCGTGATGGTGTTTCTGGGGTAGCAGGGCCTGCTGGCGTAGCTGGGATGCTGGCGTTGACTTCGTCGTGTTGTAAAGTTGCCATGGTATCCATGTCAATCGTCAAAAGTTCTTGATTCGACAACAGGCCGGAAGAGTTGTAGGTCTCTTCACTCCTGAACTATAGGAAAAAAAAGAAAAAGAATCGTAACTATTGTGTTTCCCGTATTCCAAAGCCCATTTATTCGAACTGAGCTGCATTCAAAAGGACAAAAGGAAAATAATGCTTACACGGTACGTTAGTTTGAAATAGGCGTTTCCGAGAGGCCAAACTTATTGTGTGCTAAATTCCAAGTTTTAGGCCCGGCGTCTAGCTGAGCAGTAACTCTTTCTCAGCTGTAATTTGACTTATGCCGAGCGCACTGAATAATTTTGCTACATTTTTTAAAAACTGTGCACTAAAGGAAGTAGCTACAATACGCCTTAGCGAGGTTCAACTTTTACGTTTATGCGTGACCTTCATACATTGTCTCTATTTCATTCACGCACGTAAAAATTACGCGACAGTGGAAATCCAGCTTAAGCCTTATTATTTAACTTACCACGGTCTCTATAGATTCTAGCCGTTGCTCGATCCGTGACAACCTGCGCCCCAAGGTCTCCCCCAATGTGACAAGAGAATCTTCGAATCTGTCCATCATCTTAAGTCAAAATAAATAAATGCATAAATATAGACACACTTCCAGCAACGATACAAACTGCATTTAATGCTTTGTTTAAATTATGCCTTTCTTTCGTTTGATTTGCAACCTTACCAAGTTGATAGCAAAGTATCGTTAATATCTGAGGTAAATTCAAATCGCCCCATTCCGCGAAAAAAAATTGTCGCTCTTCGAGCAGTAACGATGAGAGAAGCGTGTCAAAAAAACACACGTCCACAAAAACTACGAAAGAAAACAGCAAGAAAAAAGCTTTTCGAGGGGGCGTGTTAGTATTTTTTGGTAACCACTGCAACTTGATTCTTGACGGAGAATAAAGAAGCTACATTGCTTTGTGCTTACCTTTAAGATTCGCTCGTGATCCAGGATCTGATTCTTTAGAAGATCGTACTCTCTTGTTTTTGCTTCAAGCTGCTTTTTAATCAGGCTGATGTTGTCTGGAGAATCAATTTTTTTCATGATGACGTCGTGGGAAGAATCAGGAGGGTTCAGTTTCTTGGTTGCGCTTTTACGTTTAGCTGCCAGGTCTTCTTCCCTCTTTCTCTGTTCCTTTAAAAATTCTTCGTATGGGTCTCCTGCGACGTGATCTTTCTAAAGAACAAAATTAAAAAAGAAGTATTAGTTTCAGTCACCGCGAGTTAAACAGATACATAAAATTCCGCAAACGTTTCAGTTTAAGCTACATTATCAAAATGTGAAAACGCTTCTTTACTCGGACTATAATCATTGACTAAAAACGGCTGTAACCGGAACTACGCTTATGACAGAAAAACACCACTCAAGGAAGATCAAACTCAAAATCAAAAAATCAAACTTTAAATTTTTGAAATGTATAGTTACCGGTAAAATATTTACCTCTTCCTTTCTCAAATCCACCACTTTAGCTGTCGCGGTAGATGGTGGCTCTGTGGTCTCCTTCGTCTTTGTCGCCTTCTCCTTGGCATTACTTTTCTCCTGAAATAAAAGAGAATTTATTTCAGTTTGTGACTAAGGCTTAAAGGTCGTGCCAAGTTAACACATTAACATTTGAGTCAGACTACTAACATTAGTAATACAGTCGACTCCCGATAACTCGAACCCTCGCTAACTCGAACCTCGCGCTAACTCGAACCAAAATCGATTTCCCCTGGATTTCCGTCATACATTCACTGTAAGTTTTAAATTTTTTCAGCTTAAAACATTATGAATCTGTTAACTTGTTCTTAACTAAAATAATCAAGGGGCCCTGTGCTCTACGAAAAGGTGTATGGAGTCTTTTGGAAACCTAATAATAATATTATAAAATGGTCCCAAGAAAAAAAAGACAAGAAAAAGACACTGTGCAATATTACTTGAGGTCTTAAAAAGAACTGATCAAAGTTCTTATTTTAGGGCATTGTGTGATACGAGAATCACATCTGATCCTGTGCTACAGTAATTATTGTATAATGTGCAACTTGATTCGCGTCTCACAAGAGGGTGATAAACTTACTTTTGAGCAGTACTGTTTGTGAAATGTTTATTTCATCACCCCTGAAAAGCCTCTTATGGGAGAGCACAGCTTAAATTTGTTGGCTTGTTGAGGACCTACAGTGTGCAAGGTGTACTGTACATGTACATTGTACTTTACATATGTCATTAATCAAAGCTGTCTTTCAAGTGATTGACAGCTTCTGTTTTTTCTCTCTACAGATGCATTGTAAGTTTACTATTTACAATGTTCCCTGGGAAAAGAGAAAAGAGCTGTTGAACCATGAATGTGTGGGCTTAAAGGAGGAACGGATGCTCTCTTGTGAGCGAAGCGAGCCTTCTGTTAATACCTCAGAACCTGCAGATGAGGATAATTTTGTGACTGAGTATGCTGAAGAGGTACAGTTGTGATTGACATGTAACTGAGTCAGCCTATTCTAAAATGTGTTAAATAAAGTTCAGTTTTATCCTTGCTGTAAATTAGATCTATTTTTCTTTATTTTGGGCTATGGTTATGTATAATAATAAATTATTCTATAATAAAAGGATACTGAATTTAAACTGGGACAAAATTTAACCACAACACATGCATTTAGCTTTTGATATCATTGATTTGAGGTTTTTCCAATAAACTGAACTAGCGTGCATAAACTTGTTTTTAATGAATAATTATGCAACTCTTTACTCTAGGATTGCAACCTACAGCACTGTATGTGTCGGACAGTTTATTTTTAGTGGTACTTCATAATAAATTATTGTTATGACTTTTGCTTACTCAGGAAAAACCAGCTAAAGGTGTTGACCCTGAGGAAGAGACTTTTCGACAGTTTGTGATCCGTCACAAGAAGCCTTACTTAAATGACAAAAATGGTGAGTTTTTAAAAACCAGTTCTTGTGACCTTGTGTTCTTGTCTTGTGGGTAAAATGTCATTGGAGGTGTAGAGGCTAAGTGTTCAACATCTTGAACTTTACTAAACTAGATCTGATGGTCGGGGTCCAAGCACTGCGAGCAAACCTTGCTCCTCTTTGATATTCGGCTACAGCATGCATGCAGTGCTTTTAGGTTCCTCCGACATACATGTGTACTTTTGAAACAAGGTTTAACTCCAGCCATGTGAGCCCCGCAGCTTCTAGTGTGCACTTGTACAATGTGTAAGGCAGGGTTTTCGTGCTGAAGGGTAAACAGGGTAAATTTCACTCAACTTACATGATTAAATTTAACAGTTCATTATTTTTATTTCTATTAATTTTTTTAACAGAGTATATGAAGCGCTTGGCAATTTATAAGGAAAATATGGTCAAAGCTAAAAAGATACAGGAAATGGATCAAGGATCAGCTAAATATGGAGAGACAGTTTTTAGTGACCTATCAGGTTGTTGTTTTTCATTTTATATACTAACAATAAGTTGTGAATAATATATAATTACATACTCAATTCTGATTAATAATTATTTTAATTTTGTATCTGAACATGAACAGTGGAACCCTGTTGATGAGACCACCATTGGATCTATAATCCTGGTTGTATTAACAAGGTGTTCATTTTAATGGGGTCTTCAAAGCAATACCAGTAATTAGAACCAAAGGTAACGGAATGCGGTCGACAATGATTAAAAGTCAAAACGCCCTTGCTCCATGACGCTGTGCTTTGAGTAAGTTTGACGCCATAGATGGTCTATACACAGTTTGTATATACCAGTACACACTCAATCCGTGTGAACCCACAGGTTGCCAGCAGGGTCTATAGTTGATTATGTCTCATTGTTGGTTGGAATTTTTATTGCTTTTAGGCTTGAAAGCAGTAATAATATATAATAATAATAAACAATGAGCAAATGCAAAGGTCATACATGCACTGTATGTATCGTTGCAAATGAATGCACCCTAATACTGTCCCTGGAAGAAACAACTTGTTGTTCTTTTTCACAGAGGAGGAATTCAAGAAATATTACCGAATGCCTGGATGGGGAAAACCACTGTATGAAATGAAAGAAGCTAAAATTCCAGAAGGAGCTATTCCAAATGCTTTTGACTGGCGTGATAAAGGTGCTCTGTCTTGTCTTAGATTATCTTGTTGAACTTTGCAATGTACTGTACAGTAGCTTGCTTGTGCATTTTCTTTTTAGTTAATTTTTTTTTTTAATTTACAAACAAAGAAATTGGAATTGGTTAGGAAATCATTTATTCTTTTTTTAACACATATTCTTGATTTAAAATATAAATGTACTTGATGTGATCGAGCAGTGTAATAATTATAATAATTACTAAGTCAGGATTATTTTGTTTATTTTCCAGGTGCTGTGACTGCCGTTAAGAACCAGGTGAGTGAATCAAATCTACATGTAGATGATTTACTTTAGACATTGTAATAATAACACATTAACAAATCTTTGAACACCTAAACAAATCTTTGCACTTGATATTCTTGTCTATTAGGGTATGTGTGGTTCATGTTGGGCTTTTTCAACAACTGGAAATATAGAGGGACAGTGGAAAATCAAAAAAGGCAAATTGGTATCACTCAGTGAACAAGGTACATATGTATTATAGCGTGCAAGTTATTTGTGATAATTATCTTTTTTTTTTCGCTATCTTGAAAAGCTAATTCTCTCTTTTATGGTGGAAATATCTTAGATTTACTTCATAGTAAATACATGTATATTTTTTTTCTGGATGCAAAGAAAATCATTTTTACAGCTTGCCATTCGGGCATTCAAATTCCTCAAAAAACATTACTTGCCTGTCGGGCAGGTTAAAAACAGAATTCACTAGCCCGATAGCAAAATCCACTAGCCCCAGGCTATGAGACACTACTTTCTTTGCATGCTGTTTTTATTCCTTCGTTTTTTCATACTTTAGGTTAATCGTCAGTCTTTATTTTTTTTCAGAGCTTGTTGACTGTGATAAAGTTGACCAAGGCTGTGATGGTGGACTTCCTTCCACTGCTTACAAGCAAATCGTGAAACTTGGTAATTCTATGAACTGTATGAATGCATACTGACTTTCAAATGGAAATTGACTTTCAGCAACTGCTGGGTATAGGTGCTCTACAAGGGTTCCTTACATTGGAGCTTATCCAGTTTCTTTAGCATGATGCACCTTGGAACTAAAACTTATTTTCTACTTCTCTCTAGAAAGAATGCGCTATAACATTTTAAAAATATCCTTATTTGGTGAAGACAGAAACTAATTAGTAATTATCATTTCACAGGTAGTGTTAACTGCTCTAATAAATGTGACCACTGTTCATTATAATTCAGGTGGTCTTGAGGCAGAAAGCGAGTACCCTTACGAGGGAGCTGATGAGAAATGCAAGTTTAAGAAGTCCGAAGCTGTGGTGTATATCAACTCATCAGTCGCAATATCCAAAGATGAAAACAGTAAGTAACATTTACAGTGAAATGATGTTTTGATTTCTTTCCATCCGTGTATCCTCAAATTTTCAATTACGATTTGTAAGAGGTCCTTTGAATGTAAATTATAAAAATATGTATTATTGTAGAAGTGTCATGGTTCCTATTGAGCTGGTAAGCTTATTAGTTTGCCACACGTAAAATAATAATGTTATAACATGGGTTTGAAAACCTAGTGGCAAGGAACCCACTGCGGGGCATTTAAATAACAGCCTGATATTCTCTACTGGTGTTTTCAAACAGTGTTTTTAAACAGCATATCAATGGAATTAAAGTCAAGGCTGTGCTCTCAGGAAAATTGAAGGGAGCCCAGCATATGATTTGTATGAAAGAACTAAGATTTTCTAGTAGCCCTAGAGCAAAAGTTAGGTGCCAGGGACCACCGAGCCCTGCAAGTAAATCAAACATGAACTGTATACAGTGCAGCCGTAATGGAAGGGTTTGACCGTGTCCAATAAAATTGAACACAGCAGTTAATAAATAATCATGTAAAATTTTATTGGACCTGATCAGTCAAATAGGCCGCCTTTCGCAATAGTTTGTCATGTAGTCAAAATAATTCACTTTTGGAAAATTTTGTTCGTAGAAATTGAAAGAACCTAAATTAAAATTAAGCAACCTGTAAATTTTCAGCTGTATATCACAAAAGTAGCGATTGCAATGGCTGCCGAAAGTTAAAAGGATTTGTATGGGGAACACAACTCTTGCCACCAAGTCATGCTTGAGTGGTTTTCCATACAAATCCTTGTAAATGCTGAAATTTTTTCTTTAAATCTTTCCCTTACCCATTTAAGGGCTCAAATTGCCTGTTATAAATAAAAAGGAGATTTGAGCCCCGTAATGCTTAAGAAAATATTTAACGACAGTTTGAAAATTTTAAAATTTACAAGGATTTGTATAGAAACCACTCAAGCATGGCTGGATGGCAAGAGTTGTTTTTCCCATACAAATCCTTCTACCAGTAATTTTTCGGCAGCTGTTTCAATCGCTGCTTTTGAGATATGCGGCTGAAAATTTACTGGTTACCTAATTTTGATATGATGTCTTAGTTTGTGCTGACAAAATCTTTCAAAAGCGAACTGTTTTTTGTGTTTAGAGGA